AAACACTTACTGAGAAAGATCAAAAAGTATAGTCTTCAGTATGGATTATACCTTAATTCAATGAAAACAAAAATCCTCACCAGACCAATAAGCAACATCATGATAAACGGAGAAAAGACTGAAGTTGTCAAGGATTTAATTTTACTTGGATCCACTGTCCATGTCCATGGAAGCAGCAGTCAAGAAATCAACTGACATATTAAATTGGGCAAATCTGTTGCAAAGAATCTTTTTTGGGGGGGGGGGGGGGGGTTAAAGAAAAATTTTTATTCTGTGCTCCCGGGAGAGGTTTAGGGGTCCCCGAGAGGGGCCCAGGCGAGGTTCACGCGTCCCTGAGAGGGGCCAGAGAAGTCGCTGCAAAGAACCTCTTTAAACTGTTAAAAAGATGTCACTTTGAGAACTAAGGTGTGCCTGACACAAGCCATGGTATTTTCAATTACCCTATACACAGGTGAAAACTGGATAACAAATATGACCAAAGAAGAACCGATGGCTTTGAACTGTAGTGTTAGTGAAGAATACTGGATAAACCACGGACCACCAGAAGAACAAATAAATCTACCTGGGGAGAAGTACACCAGAATGAACTTTAGAAGTGAGAATGGCGAGACTCTGTCTCATGCTATTCGGAGATGTTATCAGGAGTGACTAGTCCCTAGAGGACATCATGCTTGGTAAAATACAGCATCAGTGAAGAAGATAAAGACTCTCAACTGGATGGATTGACTCAGTGGCTGCAATAATGGGCTTAAAACACAGCAATGATTGTGAGGACGGCACACACGGTGTGAGGGATTGCCTTTATATGGACTGTGAAGCCACAGTCTTGTAACTCCCATCAAAAGATTGGGCAGGTCAACACAAATGAGGTGTATGGAACCCAAACAAACGGATTCGTCAGTTTTGCTATCCCACTAGGCTTAAAATGAGCCATCCCAGCAGAAAGGGGGACCTCAAGGCCATCAAGAAAGAAGAGCCAGCAGTGGAATGTGCATCTTTGGACTCAGGGTCCCTGTGCTGGGAGCCTCCTAAACCTAGGAGACAAGAGAGAGAGCTCTAACACCAGAGATGGGAAGCAGCAGAGTCAGGGAAATGGCAGGACACCAGCAGGAGATGGCATGGTGGGCTCTGCAGCCCACAGAGCAAGAAAGCTGAGCACTCTCTAGCAGGCGGCCTGCTGGCTAAGTAGGGTGCCTCCAGGCTTCCTAGCCCATGAAGCGAGAGCACCTTCAGGCCCAGGCTTATTGGCAGAGTGGGGTGCCTCCAGTCACTTATCAGCGGAGCTAAAAGGGCCTTGTAACACTTACCCAAGCAGGGCAGAGGCCTGCCAGCCCAAGAAGCCCTGGGGGTGGATGGGGAAGAACCAGAGACCTGCCTACACACAGGACTGAGAAGCAGCTGCCCTGATTGAACCGTATCCTGAGCATTCCTGAGCCTGAATGACAGTAATGATAGTTACTTCAATAAACCCAATTAACTGAGTATGGTCTGTGAGTTCTGCGTGGCCACCACAAGGAACTGTCAAACCCAGAAGAGACGTACAGAGTGCTGTGGGGAGGACAGCTGGTGTCAGAATTGGTTAAAATTTAGAGGGTGGCGGCAGGTCTGACTCCTCATCTCATAGGAATCGGCCTTGGGCTGTTGATGCTGATAACAATCCTCCTTCCGCCTTGTGAAGTGCAGGTCAGACTACTTGCCTCTCTCATGCCCTATTTCCAGCACAGGACCAGGCAGTGTTTCATTCCGTCGTATAAAGGGTCGCTGTGAGTCCAAACTGACTCAACAGCACCTCACAACACCACGACTTTTTTTTTTCCTACCAGAATGTATAAACTCCATTAGATAAACTTTCATCTCAATTCATTACCATATCCAGAAACCATCAAACAGAAAATGTGAAAAATACGTTTCCAGTATTTTGCAATTATAAATGCTCCAATAAATAAACCTTGTGCATGTGTATTTTCATGTTACAGATGTATGTTAGGTCTTATAAAGTGATAAATGCCTAGGTCGTTTTGTTAAGTGTTACTAAATTTCCTTCCAGAATGGTCCCACCAATTCGCATTTCCACCAGCAACGTACAGGAATGGGTGTTTCTCCACTGCCTTGCAAACAAAATGTGTTGTCTTACGTGTTTTAAAGATCTGGCCAGTCGGTTACATGAGAAATGATATCTCAGTGCTGTTTTCATCTGCATTTTTAATTGAATTTGATTATGCACCCACTCCTCTCTTATCAACGGTTAGACTCCAAAGACCAGGTAATTATGCGAAAACTGGCATTAAGCAGAAATGAAACGATGGATGACCACATCATTACCTAACTGCCAAGTTACATCATTACATAACTGCCACACCTCCGAGAAACACGGCCCAGCCTAGTTAGCATGTAACCTCAACCATCATGGCCATACTCTCGCCTCACTCCAGGGCATCTGTTACTGCCACGTGCTCATCATTAACATGAAAAATAGATTTTTTTACTGTTGTTGAAAATGCTAAATGTCAGGTAATGAGACAGTTAATAAGGAGAAGCAGGTGTATTTCCTGTATCTAAGGTCCATTTTTATATCTATTTTGTGAATTTTCTGTTCATGTCTTTTTCTTGTGTTTCTATTCGAGTTTTGGTCCTCCATCCCTCAGTATTTTCATTCTTTATGCATATTTATGATTTGTTTATGATAACCAAACATACTATCTTTAAGCCAATTCTGCCTCATGGTGACTCCACGTGTTACAGAGTTACAGGGTTTTCTTATGTAATCTTTGTATAAGTAGACTGCCAGGCCTCTCCTTCCATAGCACTGATGGGCACCCCTGGGCAAGGAGGCACTTCTCATCCAGAGAGACTCCAGTGGAAAGGCAAGAGGCAGAAGGAGAAACAGAGAAAGACAAACAGACTGGGGGACATCATTTCCCAGGGTCTACATTCACTCTTCTGTGAATCCCCTCACTTATATTTAGTGAGAGCCTCCTGGGAGCCAAGCTAATGGGAGCCCAGGGGAGAACAAAGATCAGAGGGTCTCCATGTTCCCAGGGCTTCGTCTAGTGGGAGGCAGGCTGACCCAAGGGCATTCCCTACAGGGTGGGAAGGGTGTTGTGATGTGGAGGCCAAGAGAAGGGGGCGTGAGGGCCCAGAGCTCTGTGAGCCTCAGCCACTCTGATGCATACAGCATCCCTCTGAGGCGCCAGGCGGAGAAGAGCAAGCTCTGTTGGACCCACACACACCCACACACAGGGAAACGCGGTGTGTAAAAAATATATAAACACATTATCCTGATGGCAAAAGGCTGCTGCAGAGAGCTACAACCACTAGCACAGGACGTACTCCAAAACACACATCATGTTTTAAGTGAAGGATTTACTGGCTATCACAGAGCAAGACAGGAAACACAACTTCCCCAAAGTAGATGCTGACATTGAGCTGGGGGACACTACTGGACCATTCACTTGCAAAGATGGTCCTGGCACATCAAGGTTCCCGGTTGCACAGGTTCTGTCTGCCCCAGACTGTTTGCTGGTTTGTCGCTGATGTCTTAGCTGCTGCAGGTGTTGACAGACACAGCCCCCAACTGGCTGCTGTCCCTCATTCTATCAAGAATTGGCCCAAACAGGAAAGGTGGGGCCAGAGTCCTCGACCAATTTTGCTCTTCGTTCACCGCCAGTTGCCACCAGAGGCCCGTGCAGGGTTCTCCAAAGTCCACTGCTGCCCGTTCCTGTGTTTGCAGGCAGCCTTCTTGCTGCCCCTCTGCCTACCTCCAAAATATCAGGAGCCCCAGTGCTTCACGGGCCAGTGTTTGCAAACCCCGACTCTCCTGTCCAGGCTTCTCCAAAAGGAATATTCTCCCTTTCCCCTGCTGCCTACTTGATTTGAGAGATGGCTATGTCTTTGGTGCACTGTCATGGCTGAGTAAAGTCAAGATGTATTCTGAACCAATAAAGATGGTTTCATGCTCACTGGCCCAAGGTGTCTCCTTGGGTGGAAAAACATTTCAAGAAGACTTCAGGCCACTTGCTTCTCTCCCTCTGGGCCATTAAGCACTCAGTAATTCCAAGGGCAAAGCTCCTCACACAAGGACACCAAAGTCTGGGAACCTCGAGAGCCGAGGTCAGCCAGCCCTTGCCCTGGCTTGGCACTGGGGGAACCAGCTGCCAAATGCGATTTCCCCAACAAGGAAGGGGCAGCAGCTCAAGCAAGACCTTCATCACCAAGGAGACCGAGCACCACTCAGGAGCCCAGACATGATTCTCCTAAGGATGCCGTTGAAGTTCTGACGATGAGGTGGTCAACACAGCAGGGGCCTCATGCTGGGAATCCGCCAAACCATGAGGCTTGGGCCAAACACAGCACAATTTGGTGAAAGTGTAGAAATGCTGATTGCCTCAAGAACTGCTCAGCTAATGAAAAAATTATTCTATCACTCCAAGCACTGTGGGCTCTCCCCATGAAGACATTGGGGGTCTCCCGCAGGGAACGGCAGGGCTGTGGGGGACAGCTCTCAGGATGAGGCAGCCAGGCAGAAGGATGCTGGCCTGGGGTTGGCCCAAAGTCTGAACACTGTCCACTCCAACGCACACTGGCTGGATGACCCTGGAGGGGCCCTGAACCTCCCTGAGCTCCTGTGTCCCCACCTGCAAAGTCAAACCACTACCTCAACCTTCTGGGTGGGCTGAAAGGACAGAGGCAATACACAAACAGATCCCCACGTGATAGGGGCATGTGGCAGGCACTCAAAGGAGGTGGCTCTTCCTGTGGGCTTAATTAGAGGGATCTAGAAGGGGGAAGCCACCGGGGGAATACGAGGCTGGGAACACTAAAGGGTCCCATTTGTCACTGAGCCCAGAGCAAGATGCTGGCAATGGAGATAAGACATCTGACAAATAAATCTGGTGAGACTTACAGTCCTCGTAAGAGCAAATTTTTCCAAACTACTCCTAACAGCTACCCTGGTAGCTTGGAGGCATTTTTCCGGCGTGGTCCTATGGGCCCTTCCCATTCTACGGACCATGCTTCTGATTCTCTGGCGTTAAGATTCGGTCCCGGTTTTGTTCAAAGATTTCTAACATTTTCTGCCTGTCGTGGTCAGCCTCAATCACCTGTAAGTTAAACACATGGGTCACAGAGCTGCATCCAACCTGAGCGTCACCCTCTCTTCACAGATGGGAAAGGGGAGCATTGAGGCAGGCAGGCGAGGCACAGAGAGGCAGAGCAGCCCAAGGTCACAGGCAGGTGAAAAGCACAGTTAGAGCCAAATGGCTCCCAAATCTGGGTCAAGTCTGCATTCGCAACTAGATTTTCACTCAAAATCTACTACAGTTGTCCCTGGGGTGAATGCTTTTTTTTTTTTCCTCACCATTTTATCCTATCCAATTTTCTACGAAGAGAGGGAAATACGGACTTTGCTTCTTTAAAATTCCAGTACACTTCCCAGGAACCTCACTGCCTGGACAAGCCGTGAGTAGCAAGGAACAGCACACGTGAGAAGCCCAGGTGCACGTCCCCAAAGCCATGCCCAGAAGCTCATGTGGGTTCTCCTCGGCTCCCATACTGTGCACACACTGTAACCCCCTCAAGCATCTGTTTCCCTGTTGGAAGCGGCTTGGCAACAGCAAGTCAGAGAGTGAGAGGATGCGAAGCAAGGAAACCCCAACAGGGTCGACACATCACCGTCAGTTAGAAGTAACCATAAAAAGCAAACACGGGAACCCAAAGACATTAGTTGTCTGGGGCACACAGTCTGACACACCTCAGCACCTCCTAAGGGCGTCACCGTGTCACAGACCAGAATGGCAACTGATGTTCCTCCTGATGACCCTGAGTCATCGAGAAATGGTAACCCGCGGCTGTGTGTCATCCACTGAAGAAAGGAAGGCCACATCCCAAAGACCACAACCCCAGTTAAAACCAAAGCCCGGGTCTAAGGCGTCAGTCATCAGGAACAGTCCTTCTCTGGTGATGCTGGATGAGATGGTACCGTAACCACCGGTATAACACTGGGACAAGTCACCTACTCTCAGATCTCTCCAACTCGTTCTGAGACTCAGTCCAGAAGTGGGGAGCACAAGAGAGAAAGAACCCCTTCCTACCCTACCCACCTTCCTTCTTCCAGATTCTCAACCCCACCCCAGTGTGTAGAGTGGCTCACATTCCCTGGGCCTCTCTTCCTTCTGGAAAAGTCCCCTGCACTGTCAGGGAGACCGACTTACCAGAACAGGGGCCGCCACGGGGAAGGGGCTTCTTTTGAGGAGCCACTCCTCATAGAGGTGGTGGATAGCATCCAGGTATTCCTGTAGGGAAACCACAGGACAGGTTGTCGGGGACAGGGAGGGGTGTGACTCCTCTCACCAAAGGATGAAGGCAGCTGGGGTAAAGTTGACCATGACCACAGGGCAATGACTTGGACAAAGGAGCCCTGCCACAGCCAACCTCAGATGGGCAGCAGTCAGTGTGGCCATGCACCACCCCGGGCCAGGCCCTGCATCACAGCAGTCACAAGTAGCACCTTCGCGGCCCTGCACACTGCCCTTTTTGGGTTTCCTGTTTGCTGGTCCGTGGGAGAAGCCCAAGGCAACTGCAAGTCAAAGGCAGGGCTCTCTCATCTGGCTTCGCCCATTCACGGCCCCTTCTCCAGCAGTGGGCCATCACTTCCCTTATGTGGAGATGCCAGGCATGGCAGCCCTAGGAAGCCTCTAGAACTCTCCCCTCTCTCTGTCCTTCCCCCCAAGAGGACTGCAACAACTGCTGGGCAGGGAGCCCCACTCTGTCCTGCTTCCATCCCCACCAGGCAACACGTGACCTCTGGATCCTCAAGACCGCCTACCTCAGAAAGCCTAGTGACGTGGAACCCAAGGGGAGAGGGACGTAGACATGCACACCTGCCCTCTGCGCGTCCGTGCTGGGCAGGCCTGGACGGCACCCCAGGCCACCGCCGCCACCACCTCAGCAGCTCTGCTTGCCAGCCCAGAAACTGTCATGGAAACCGTGCTTTTTCATCCGCCACCAAGTTCTACCTCAGTGACAGGACACAGATTTGTCTCATAGACCTTATCAAAGCCGTTAGAACAATAGCTTGGTCAACAGTTTGGGGGGACAACAGTCGTGCCATTCCTTGGGAACACCTGTGTTATTATGCAGTGTGCCTCACCCATCAATGCGTGGTGAAGTCCTCCATCCCATTCCTCCCTCTAATCACCCATCTCCTGGAATTCAAAGGAGCTGCCAGAGCAAGGCCTGGATTTCGCGGCTGGGATCTACCTTGTTGGTGCCAGAGAGATTCAAAACAGGGCTGGGCAGGGACTCTAGAGGTAGGCAGGCCTCCCAAGGCCCCGAGTCCACCCACCCTGAGCTCAGGGCCATACTAGGTACTTGCCCAGCATGTCTGCACAGCTCCAGGGGCAGCTTCTCACAGAGGATGTTTAGTTCCCTACTAACTGACCAACGACCAGGTGCCAGGCCTTGGGACACATGCTAGAGATGCAGAGGGCAACGAGGTCTAATATTCAGATGCTCGGAGTTTAGTAGGGGATAGGGAACAAACTCGTAAACAAACAGTATCAGTCTACTGTCCTAAGAGCTGTGATCGTAATAAACTCAGGGGCTGGGAAAGCACAACGGAGGGGAGGCCAAGGAAGGCTTCCTAGAAGAGGCAATGTCTGAGCTGCACCTTAGAGGCACAGGAAACTACATATGCAAGGTTCATCTGTATCACACTCCATGGTGTGCATGTGTGTAGAGAGATAAAGCCAGGGAGACAAGTGGAGCCGTATCACGCAGGTCCCTGTACGCCATGCTATGAAGTGAGGACTTTATCTTAGACAAGGACACCTGTCTAGCACTGTAGGATTCTAGGCTGAAAGACTGCATGGGTCATGGTCCACCACGGTGGAAACACTCCCCAGGCAGGACTGTGGAGGCTGTATTTTGGAGGAAGTAGGGGGTGAGGACCAGAGCAAGGAAAGCAGAGCCTGTTACCACAGGCTACAGTCAAGGGGCTGAGCCAGAACCCAGAAGGGTGGACAAGGGTAACCCGCTACCTGATATAAAGAGCTGACCACCACCTCTGGCCAGGCCCTGCTGTAAGCACTGGGGATGTAGCAGTGAGGACACAGTCCTGCCCTGCCTGGAACCCACATTCCAGTAAGGATCCAGAGGAGAAGCCAAGGTCAAGAGCCCTTCAGGAGGTGGGACAAGTCCTGGTGACACCTGGGGGTGCAAAGCAACTCTGAGCACGGGAGTTCTGGTCCGGAGCCAGGGACCACAGGGAGTGAAGCCGATCTGGGTGTATGTGCAGGTCTCCAGGTACAGAGGAAGTTAAGAGTGAACCACAGATGTGCTCAGTTCCTGTTGCTCTCTCTACAGCACGATGACCTCATGGTGGGTGGGGTCAGAGACAAAGCCAGATGATGGACAAGCTTTCCCAGTTGGTCTTCAACATGGGAGCAGGTTCTTACCAATGGGATAACCTTCTCCTCTTCCCTGCATCTCATCTTTAGTCTCTGGTAACAGGTCTCTGGAGTGGTCCGGAGATAAACTGAGATTAAGGAAAAACACGTGGTTCTAATTACTCTGCTCCTGGCTTGGAAGTAAAAAAGCCAAGAAGCAGGGGCGGGAAGATGGCCCGTGTGCAGGGTGGATGGAAACATCAGCCAGCCAAACCAAGAGGAGGGACGGGCTGGGGTCGATGCCCAGCCAAAAGGCACACTGACCCGCACCCCTCACTTTTGTGCCCATTCTGTGACTATGAAGCAACTACGGGGTTACTGTGAGGCTGGATGAAATTCCACGTAGCACTTAGCAGAGGACCTGGCACAAAGTGAGTCCCAGGAAAAGCCCAGTTTCTGGTCCCAAATCCTGTCTGCATTTAGGGAATTAATTTGAATTAATTTGGGGGAAGAATCACTGATTGCAAGTGCTCTGCCTGCTGTCCCTGCTTGTTTGGGACCGAGTCAAGCAGTCTTGCTCAGGCCCAGGGGAAATCCCAGAGGGGGAGGTCGGGGAGGGGGCCTGCCTTACCGATCAAATCAACAGACACATTAATGTTCTTCACGATCCAGTCAAACCATTCCGACAAAACCACATAGTCCACTTCAGGCATCTTCCCGCTGCAATGAGAAAACCCATCATGGTAAAGGCTGCACTCACCCACGAGAAAGCTTCTGGGCTCCACTATTCCCCAAATGGACCCAGGGATCAGCTGTCACTGAAAGGACACTGCCAAGAGCATCAGAGCACAGTACAATCCAGGCGACACTGTGTGTAGTGACAACAAGATGTACTGTGTGACCTAAGATTTCAACTGCTGCCTTGGTATCTTTGAGCCTCACAGAGCCCCAAAGACTGAACCATGAGCTCCCTGTCTTACACTGGACATGCCCCTCACCCAGAGGGAAAGGCACCCCACCAGCTAGTTCCTCTTTGAGGTAGACCAGATACACACTCCACCGAGTCCAATCAGATGGCCACGAGAACCAGGGGGCACTCTACCCTCTTGTTACTACGAAGCCTGCCTCCCACCTCCTGCTGGTTCACTCTGCTCCCAAGTGCAACTCCTGTGTGGCCCTGCCTGGTGTGTGGTCCCCTCCCCTGGCTGTGAATATCCATGACTAATGAACTGCTGCCAGTCTCATCTGTCCAGGGTCCTGTGTTCAGCCATCTTATACCACGTAGCGTGGGGGAAGCCTTCCTTCACCACTGAGATTAACAGGACTGGTCGTAACACAAGGACCCTGAACATTCCTGATCTTCGCTGCCTGGGGACAGCTTATATTGTTAAAGTTGGAAATGTCGTAGCACTGGTTGGTAAGAGAATTCATTTCAGATTGAACTGCAAAAGAGAGACTGTAAGGCCTGTCCTCTGAGAAAGGGGACAGAGCTTAGGTTGGGCGATGGAGCAGCAGGTACCTTACCCCCAGGCAGCCATCACGGCACATGGCTGTGCTGTGCAGGCATCGGCTGGCACTGACCTGGACCGTGTACAGTCTACACCTGGAGTTGGTGTCCAGTGAAGGTAGATGAAAGGCCTCCAGGCAAGGAGATAAGACCACCCAAAGACAAGTGCTCCCTGTGTACTATGTACCAAAGGGAGGATCACAGGAGCTGAGCCAGGAAATTCCAGACCTCCCTGACGTTTTCCCTCTCCTGCTCGCTGTATTGTAGCATTCTTTACCTTGATTAAAGTTCTACCTGAGGATTAGAAAGAAAAAAGCTCCCAAGCCTTCCCACTGCTGCAGGACAAACCCTGATCACCTGAGCATGGCCTACAAGACCTTTCCTGATCAGCAGCCCTTGCCACGTTCCCAGCTTCTCCTCCTAGCACTCAAGCCTGTTCTTGCCTATTTCTGCTATTTTCTACCTCCTAGTCTTTGCTCGGGAGCTCTGGTAGCATAGTGCCTAGGGCACTTGACTGCTGACCAGAAGACTGGCAGTTCAAACCCATGAGCCACTCCTCGGAAGGAAGGTTGGGCAATCTACTTCCGTAGTGATACTGCCTCAAAAACCCAAGGAGGGGTCATTATGAGGCGGGTCTGACTTGACGGCATTTAACAGCAGTCTTTGCTCAAGGAAGCTCCTGTAACATTCAGCTGCTAAGAAAAAGGTTGGTGGTTCAAACTCACTAGCTGTCCTGTGGGAGAAAGATGAGGCAGTGTGCTTCCATAAAGATTTTATAGCCTTGGACATCCTATACAAAAAAAAAAAAAAAAACACTCACTGTTGTTGAGTCAATCTCGACTCATAGTGACCCCTCCTTGAGTTTCTGAGGTGGTATATCTACAGAAGTAGATTGGCCAGTCTTTCTTCTAAGGAGTGGCTGGTGGGTTAGCAGTCAAAAGGCCTTAGGCACTATGCCACCAGAGCTCCCTACCCTATAGGACAGTTCTACTCTGTCCTATAGGGTCACTCTGAGTTGGAATTTGACTTGATGCCAGTGGTCTCTTTTTTGTTTTCGTTTTGTTTTTAAGCCTTAGTTCTTGCTGCTCCCTTTCTTGGCAGGCCCTAACCACCCCGTCTGCCCAAAACACTCTGGCTTAGCCTCTGGAACTCAGATGAGAAGGCCACTGTCTCCCCACAGGCACAAAGACAAGCAACAGTCACTCACACAAAGCCCTCCCCACCACACTGAGCCAGCCTGGGTACAGCGCACATGCTCACTGCCCCGTATAGTCTGAAAGGCTCAAGGAGTGGCCTGAGGAGAGGAGGGGTCCACACAGCCCCTGTGCACAGGGACTGTGATTCCTGTTATGGAAGAAAGGATGGGAGATCATGAACCCATGGACCCCACTGGCTCAGAGCTGCTCCCCCTGCCAACATTTCGTGTCCACAAACCCCAGAGAAACAAACAAGAACAAATGAGGAGAAGGTGGCTTTTCTGACATGGTGCAGCATCTTCATTCCCAAACCCTCAGGTGGAAGAACCTAGCAGCTCCTAAGTGCTGGGCCTGAGTTAGGAGGTTCACATGTGTAGGCTCCTTGAATCCTCCCAACACTCCCCAGAGGCAGCCACCTGTGTGCACATTCTACAGAGGGGAAAACAGGCTCAGGGCTCTGCAGCTTTCCTGAGGTCACACACGCCCAGCAAAGGCCAGGGTCAGGACGAGGCCAAGGTCCTTCAGACCCCACAGTCATGGCTTCAATCATATTCCCGCAAGGCAAGCAGCAAGCTGGCACACATATTTGTGATAAATATGGCAGACAAAGAGAAGTTACCCTGAACACAGAAAGCTTGACCACACAAGGACACCACTACCTACACCTCAATGTTTACAAGTGTTCAAGACAACAAACAAAGAAAGGATGGTAAAAAGATGGAGAAAAGTGCTCAGCCTCACAGATACGCAAAGAAATGCTCATTAGGACAAGAAGTTATGATATTTCACCTGTTACAATGGTTTTTTTTTTTTTAACTTTGTTACTATTGAGACTACACATGGCAAAACTTACACCAATTCAACAGTTCCTACGTGTGAAGTTGATTACATTCTTTGAGTTGTGCAACCATTCTCACCCTCCTAAGTTGTCCGTCCCCATTACCATAAACTCACTGCCTCCTAAGTTTCCTATTTAATCTTAGGATTTCCTGTTGTCAATTTGATTCCACCTAGTTCTTAGAAGAGCATAATGCTCAGGGCAGATCTCTTTTTACTAGTTAAGCTGAACTGTTGTTTAAGAGGACTTCAGGGGATATATTTGGATTAAGGTTTAAAGATTACCCCAGGGCAACAATTCAGGAGTTCATCCAGCCTTCGGGCTCCAGAAAGTCTGAAGTCTATGAAAATTTTAAATTCTGTTCTTCATGTTCCCCCTTTTGATCAAGTAAATACTCTCTTAACTGAGTTTACCCAAGATTGGTAGAGTATGGAGCGCAATGTGTTATCCTGCTGGTGGTTATGCAAATGTAAATGGATGTAACGTTTTTACAGGGCACTGGGAGCTATACAGTAAAAACAAAACAGTGACAACCAAATAAAAACTTTAAAACTGTGAACCAATTTTACCTCTAGGAATTTATTTTGTGATAAATACGTTTATCACACCGTAGCACTGTTTAAAATGGATGCTCACCGTAACACTGTTTGAAATGATGAAAAATTAAATCTTGGTACATCTATGTAACAGAAAACCATGCAGTAGTTGAAAAGATGATGTTATAAAATAACTTAGAAAATCCTCAATAATCTAATGTTCATGGGAAACCCCAGGCTACAAAACTGTGGGGTCTTCATGAGCCAGAACTGACCCAATGGCAACCAACAACATAGTATGAATAGTAAGACCTCAACTGTATTTTAAGAAGTACTCATCTGCATATTCTGAAAAGACGGTAAAGAAAACACGGAAAGATTAACAGTGCTTTACTCGGAGCTGTAGGACTATGGGAGAATTTTTTTCCTTCATACCTTTCTGTATTTTCCAATTTTAACAACATCATTTCTCAAATCAGAGGTGAGGGCATTACTACATATTTGAAGTATTAAAAAAAGAAAGAAAGAAAAGAGAAGAGGAGGAAAAAGCATGCGTGAACAGAGGCCCTGGTCTCTCTCCCAGCTGCTGAGGGGTGAGCCGAAGGCCCAGGCAGGAAAGGAACAGGGCAGAGGCAGAATGGCAGCTGCCGGCAGAAGCAAACCCATCAAACAGTTGGTGAACCTTGAAGGCCCAGGAGAGAAATTCTCTCCTAACATTCTCCACCTGAGACAGAGAATCCCTGGAATGATTGTCACCAGGTAGTTCCATCCCAATCCACTCAGAACTTGGTCTGACAAAACTGACTCTGGGGAGAGTGGATACGCAGGGGGCTTCTGATGTCTGACTACAGGCGGAGGGCATGAGAGCAGCCCAAGTGGGGGCGGGGGGCAAAGGAGCTGGTTCCTGGCCTGGAGCTGTGTGTGTGTTTTTGCTGGGCCCAGAAGACAGGGCATGGCACAGACCAGGAGAGACATTCTCCCCTTCTCCCTGTGACCACCAAGATGCCCTCAGCAAAGAGCTGTGCTTGGCTGAGCGGTGGGAGAGTCTATGACGCCCAAGAAAACGGCAAAGATAGCAGGAACCATCTTGGCTCCTGCCTCAAGGGGTCCTCAGGCCTCAGACCACAGCAAGGAGACCAGAGCAGATGAACGTGGGAGGACCGCCAGGGCTCCCAGAATAACTGAGGGAAGCTGTGTGGGGAGAGGGATAGGGAGAGAGTAGTGGACCAGAAGGAAGTTGTACAATGTTGCAGAGGTAACTTTGAGCCAATGAAATTCAGCCACTCACCGCAGTAGTACCCCCAGGCTGGTATGCTCTGGAGACAGAGACTGGCCTCCCCAGCATCCTTTCCTCTTTCTTCCTTCTTCAAAGTACCTCATCATCAGTTCAGGGTCCATCTCAAAGCCCAAGTGCTTCAGGAAAACCTGGCTCCACCCCAACCTTTAGGGCAGGCCCAATGGCCTAAAGGAAGTCCTATCCCCTGGCCCTACTGATTGGCTCACAAAGCCAAGCTGAGCCAATCAGGGCAGGGCATCCCTTGGCCAGAGGGGCCCAACTGGAACCAGTGAGACAAGAGAGAGTTCGACAGTGTTTATGGAAAAGATGCCACTGCCTTCATTTGCACAGAACACACAAAGGGTGA